AAGGAAGGGAAGAGGGGTTGAAAGGAGGAGGGGAATGGGAAAAAGAGAAGAATCAAGATATGTCATGTACAGGTACAAATTCCCTGTGACGAATATGATCATTTATGTATATCTACAATGTACCAATAAACTTAATTAATAAAAAATGTTATTTTGGGGCCGGGGATTTAGCTCAGTGGTTTCGCCGCCTGCTGTGCAAGCGCAAGGACCCGAGTTCGATCCCCGGTACCAAAAAAAAAAAAAAGTTCCAAAAAATGTTATTTTTATTTAGAAAATGTTGACAAGGCTCCCAAATGTAAGTAAAATATATCCTCACACTCTCCTCACCTCACCCGCCACACTTACTATACAAGTATAGTGTAGATGTTACCCTTGTTTTGAAGAGCTTACAGTCTAGTTGTGGCTGGGAGACGAAACATATTCTTTTTAAAGAAGAAGATTACAGATTGTGGTAAATATAGTCTGGACCCATGACTAGGGCAGCTGATAAGCAAGAGAAAGCATTTGGTATTTGGTGTGTCATTTCAAGCATGGCAGGATTTTCAGTGTGAAAATGACAGAATGACATTCCAAGTAGCTGAATAAAAATGTGCTAAACGGGGAGGTTAGAAGGTAGGTGAAGGATCAGACTACGAGAAGCAGTAAATAAATACACTGGAGTGAATAGTGCCATGTAGCAAAAAAGTCTGTGTTGTGACTATATATAACTTTGAATGTTAGGTTGAGAGGCTTTACATTTGAACCTACTTTTACTTAAAAAGACACTTGTATTTGAATAAGGAAACCTAAATTCCAGGATGTACTGTGACCTTTCCTGACCTTCATAACCAAGTAACATTTATTGAACATAAGCTATGTTACTTGTAACCAGGCTACACATTGCAGAGACTACAGTTAAAGATCTTGCATTGTATGGATGGAGAGAGATGTGCAGAAGAATAACCGTAATACCACGACAGAGATACAATATATTTCCAAATGCCACGACAAAGATATATGTACAAGAAATAGACCATTCTGGAAAGGATAGCACTAACTCTGAGGGCTTTGAACAAGACTCACATGGAAGTTAAATAAAGTAAGCTTTAAAGGGTAAAAAGACTTGGCCAAATTTACAAGTGGGGAGATAGTCTTTACAGAAAGAGACAGAATCCAGCCTAGTGAAACATGAAGGGGAAGGAACTTAGGAAATGGTGAAATATCTATGATGCCAGTTAACTATTGGATGGAAAGGGTGTCAGGTATGAAGGTGCAACTGCAGACGGGTGCCAGGTTATAAAGAGCATTATGTCCAAGAAGGATTCACTTGAGATTTTAGCAGGGCCATGGTATTTGGAGATGAAAGGATCTTGAAGAATGGTGTGGAGTCAAGGGTCCCTTACTGCACGTTTAGATAGTGGCCTTGAGGGTGAAGAGGAAGATCAGACTGAGGAGGACTTCTCACTGAATAGCAAAAGGCTTCTGTGAGCTAGAACCAGCATGTGGTACACTGAAGAGAGAAGAGTAAATCATTTGCCACATTTGGGGATTTCAGGAGGCAAAGACTCTCCCAAGGAGAAAGGTCTTTAGCTTTTCGCACACAAAAAAAATCTTATTTCAGATTGTTCACTGAATGTTTTTAGTGGATTTCTATAGACTTTCACACAAGTTTCTTGTTCTTGTTACTGCTTAGCTTTAGCAGTTTCCTTAAACTCTCTACATAGGGAAATTGTTCCAGTTGTTTGCCTCTCTGTTTCAACTATGTGAGCCAATATTTTTAGCATTTGTTCCTGGAAGTCTTTCCCTTAGAAAGACACTATCCGCAATTTTGAATTTCCTTCTCCTTTCTCAAACTCTTGTTGAACTTGATATTTCCTACTAGATGCTTTTATTTACAATGTGCAAGCACCTTGCAGTTAATTAATATCTTGCATTTTAATTCTGCTTTCCCTGGCAGTTTCTCTCAGTGAGGATTAGGATGGCTTTGCATACACAGACTAAAATAATAAGTTCTCAGTTTCTCTCATAAAAGCTAGAGCTAGACAAATGAATGCTGGAATTCTGCCACTGCTCCACAAAACTCCAAGGGATTCAGCTCCTTTTGGCTTACCTGCCACTGCACACTCAGGAATAGCCCTTGTTTACATGGTCTGAGGTGATCCAAGTACATTGCCATCCAAACAGCAATAAGGGAAAGTGTTGAGAAGTGAAGGAGACCTACAAGCAGTTTTTAAGGAAATGTTCTTCAAACTTGTTAAGAACCACCTGCCTGTAGGTCGTTGGCCATACTGAGCCCATGGAAGCTATCTCTAGCTACAGGATATGTGGGGAAATCCAGCTAAATCATCTATTTATTTAGAAGAAAACAAGAATGAATATTCGAGGACATTGAACTTACAAGGAAAAAAGGAGGAAATATGTTATCTTAGAGAAATAAAAACTTTAGAGAGCCAGAAAACCTTTTCTCAGATGTCGTTTTACCTGAATCACCTCCTTGAATCTGTTTGTCCTTCTAAAATTAATCAGCATTCTCTTAGAGCTTTTATGGCTGAAGATGAAATCCATTGTTGGATTTATCCATACCTTGAAAATTAAATGATGTACAACTTTAAAGTTATCTCTTTAAAGTATTCAGCAAGTTTCTGAATCTAAACTCAAAAAACATCACTGAGGAACTGTATCAGTTGTTATATCAATCTTGTGGCAACATTGTTTGCCAATCAGAAAAAGCAGGTATTATCTACAAATAACTCATATAGATTAAGAGAATACATTTCTGTTAATGAAACTCTTTCAAGAATATGATGAGTTTGACTCTTCTGTAAACTTGATGGAGCCAGAGTTTGCTCATTTTACAATTAACAGAAACCTAGGAAAGCAGGTTAAATGAATGGATCAGCACCAAGTAACTGAGGAGCTGCTTTAGCAACTATGCTATCTTCGAATCTCTCACATTCTTATAAACTGTGTTGCTTCTCTGGTCCTTATAGGTAACATTTTGTTGCCCATTTGATAAAGTCTGAATCTTTTAATTAGAGTAGACTCTCAGTTATTTATCTTTACTTTCTATTTCTCCCAATATTTGTTAAATATTCTACTTTTCCAGTCCTTTCCTTTATACTCAGTACTCTGCAAAACTACCTAACTTCTTGCTCCACAAAATGTCTTTTGTTCTTTGTCCACTCGACTTCTGCCCCCTCTCTTGGTGTCAACTGTGAGTCTACATTCTATGCAAAGCAGTTCCTGAATACTGCAGGCTGCACAGACCTCGCATTTTCCCGAACTTTTGTATCATAGAGAATATATAGTGTATATTACATTTAACTATAGAAGTAAATTATACATTGCATCAGGTTATTCCATATGTTTTAGCTTATTCTCCCCAATATTCATAGTATTTGTTCTGGCCTTCAGGGCCTTGAATTTCTTAGGCAGTTTTAGTCACATGAGGGCAATGGTAAAAAATCTAGGAAGAACAAAAACTACTTCAGATCTAAATTAAGTCAACAAGTAATCCTTAAGCAAGTCCTGAGAGTTAGTCTGAACTTTCATGGCAAATGAGGAAATATATTCAAGACACAAAGAAACTGAGCTGGTGTAACAGGTAGGAATTGAATCTGACTCCACTGAAGATCTGGTCTAAAGCTTCATCGTTTTTACTCTCCATTGAACGTTTTACTGGAATCCAAATACTGTGTGTTTTTGTGTATTTTGTGCCTGTGTGTATGTGTGTAGCTCACTATTCCAAGTTTAGATAATCCAGAAAAATAAAGGCATTTCTGTTTAATAGTAGCCCTAGGGTTAATTTATGTGTATTTTTTATTCAAAATCAAGAGGACCAGAATTGATAAATATTTTATCTGTAGAAGTCACAGACAAAATCTTCCAACCAAATTAGGATATTAAAGTGAACTGCAGAGACATTCTCTTATGCATACAGTCAGGAGATATTTCATTCATATTTATACTATCACGTACAAGGCTTAACTATATCATTGCTTTCTTGTCATATGTAATGTAAATTTTTTCAGGGTAGGGGTAATGGCTTTTGCTTACGCTCATTTTGTAATCTCAAATGGAACTAGAAGAGTGGCAGCAAAGCATAATTCATAGAAGTACATTGTTACAAACATGGATGTTATTTAAAAATTTATTTTTAGCATATGATTTTTTTCTCTGAGTGAACCTATATATAACTTGAATATTTAAAGTCTGCAAGAATATTCTAATTTCATTTTATGATGCTGAATTAAATTTGTCAAGTATATTTTCAATGTTTTTACACACTTATATGTTCCCCTGGCTATGTTATCTATCAATCATCTATTGATCCATTTATGTATCTTTATTTACATGCAGAAATGGAAATACGAAGAGAAAAGATCTGTCCCCACTGTTGCTACTAATGAGTGCATGATTTTTACCCTAACCTTCTGTGTTTAAGATAATGTTCAGGACCACAGGGAAAACACTGACATTGAAAAGTCCTGGCATATATTTTAAAGGTCTTACTTTATTATCAATTCTAAATACAAATTTGTTTCATACTATTAAGAATTTTTTAGTTCCAATTATTTGTTTGTTCAAAAAACAATCATCTTATACTATTTGAGTAGGTGTTCATTTTGAGGAGAGGAATCTTTTTTTTTTTTTTTGGTATTAGGGATCGAACTTGGGTCCTTGCGCTTGCTCAGCAGGTGGCGAAACCACTGAGCTAAGTCCCTGGCCCAAAAAGAGGAATCCTAGACTTTCAAATCTAGAAGGGAACCTTGGAGACATTCTCATTCAACACTTTATTCTAAATGAGTCGCGTAACTTACTTGAAGTTACATGGATAATTAATGGTGGTGCAGAGAAGAGAACAATCCAGTTGGCCTCCTTCTTAGGCCATTTCTCTCTCCCTCTCTCTTTCCCTATCAATTTCAATGAATGGATTTTAATTCTTGAAAGAATCATTGCAATAAGCAACCTAATTTATTCAGTAGGTCACTAATGCTTTCCTCCCTTCTTTGTCCCTGTAGCTCTCTTCAATCTAATTCCTGTGGGGCTGCGTGTGGTGGCCATTCAAGGGGTGAAAGCCAGCCTCTATGTGGCCATGAATGGTGAAGGCTATCTCTACAGCTCAGTGAGTATCTTGCACTGTGTGTGTGTGTGTTGTGTGTTGTGTGTGGGTGTGTGTAAACTGGTGCTGAGGTAATGAAGGAGCCATGATTTTAGGGAAACAATTTGGAAATTTAAATCATTTTTTAATTCAGTTTTTCAAGATTTGAATGCGTAATTTATAATTTAGCATGTTAAAGACCAGGTCCTATCGAATGAGAAAGAGCCAGTTACTCTCCATGTGATGTAAATTCTCTACGTTTAGATTCTTCTTCTAGAGTGTGCCGCATCTTTGCACTGTACCTTTCTGTTTAATTCAAAGAGTAGCACGTTTTTCCTTTTCTCTGTTACCCATCCTTCAAGCACAGAAGATGGCTCAAGAAGGGTCATTCTTGGAGTTTTCTGAGAATCTTCTTCATCTTATTGTGAGGAAGAATTTTCAGAATACATTGTGATTTTATTTGTATTTCATCAATCTGTAGCATCTAGTGTGTCATATTCTTGGAATAACTTTAATTCAAAGGCAGCACTGGATTAGGGGCAGGGATATGTGTGTATCATTTACATTTCAGTTACTATCTGGATGACCCTTTGGATAAATCTCTTTCTCTATTTGGTTTGATTTCTGGGGTTGGCCATCAACTTGCCTAACATCTCTTTCAAATCGAAAACTGACAAAATTGCATAGCTACATTGTGAGCACCGATAGAGCTTAAAGTACTTAACACTGTTCTGATGCTTATCTCACTCTCAAAGTAATAATTTATGCACTGAGAAAATGTGGCTGTGTCGAATGTTGTATATACACATTTCTGCTTTCTCATGTAAGAATTGCCCATTTGTAGTTAATGAAAAACATTCTGCAGAATCACAGATACAGATTTCCACCCTTAGTTTCTATGATCTCAGTACATTATATGAGATTATTTAGAAAGTTCACATATGTCTAATTGAATGTGACTTACTTCTTGGATAGTTTTATAAGGCTCTCTCAATATTTCAATTAAATGAATTGCTGGTGTATTATACTTGCTTATTAGCAATACATCTGCCATACATATTAGAATTAAAGACAATGTAGTTTGTATGTTCTCAGTGTAGACGTACTAAATGAATGAGATTATAGCTATGCTATCAGCCCTGATCTTGTCAATACACATTGTACACATGTATTAAAATGTCACACTGTACCCCATAATCATGTACAATTACTATGTGTCCTTTAAAACAAAAATATACTTTAAGAAGAAATTAAAGTTACTCTTTTACTTCTGAACACATTCAGATCTAATATGTATTCATATACTATATGTGCACATATACATTTTCAAGTCACTGCTCAAATAATACTTAAAGATAAATATATTTTCAAAGTCTGAAGCATTCATTCATTTGTAGTGTGTCATTGTTCTATGAGTTCTTCATGAACAGTGGTTATGAATGAATTCTTAATGAATTATATTCCCCATACATGTGGAAAAGGAAGAGAACAAGTTGTTTCAAGCAATCCTAGTGAAACTTTACAAAAACATTTGAAAGCAATGACAGCTAAAATTTGAAGATGGTTGAGATAGTCTTTGAGAATTTACTCATCCAATAAACACCTAAAGGTAGACCATATTACACACATGATATTTAAAAGGTCGTGAAAGGTAGAGTTCATATTATTGGAGTAAAACTGATGGCCAAAGATTCAGGGAAAAGAAAAATATATAAAATCTGACAAGTGCATTGTAGGCTGTACATGTTTGTGTGTGTGCATGTGCCTGCGCGCACATGTATGTGTGTAGAATGGTGGGAAAAGCAGGAAGATTTCATCTTCTACATCTTTTTCAGAGATAAGTTCTTTCTCTCCTTGTTTTAAACGGGGTTAGGACCACCCATGGCAGTGTGTGCCTGTAGTCCCAGCACTGTGGAAGTCTGAAGCAGGAGGATCTCAAATTGAAACATATCCTGGGCAACCGAACGACTTAGAGACTTAAAGAAAAAAATCGAAAAGGGCTGGAGATGTAGCTCAGTGTGATGGCCCTGGTTTCAATCCTCAGTAACAAAAAACCCAGAAAAGCAACAAACAAACAACAAACTCAAAAGTGGATTAAGACACAGGAGACTAGAGCTCTTAGGGTAGAAAGGATTTTAAGAAACTGTTGAGATTTTGACTGGATGAACTTATTTGTAATAGAATTAATACCTTGATAAAGCCAATAGTCACATCCTGAGTTGCCTGTTTGGGATATCTAGATGTTCAGTTCTCCTCTCTATGTAGACTTGCCTCCTACTGAGAATCACAGTACTTGCTCTTGCCTATGGTATTGTGTGGTACGAAGAATATTTTTTTTTTTTTTAAATGAGAGTGTAGCATCACTGCCATTGATCATCCGGGTCTCTGCTTTCAGAACTACCTTCTTTCTGGCTAGGGCTAATTGGGGTAAATACTGGTTCTCAATTTTAGACAAGGAGCATAGGCCTGAAGATTCTGTAGTAGGACTAACGGGGGCCAATGTTGGAGTATAAAGGTCTCTTCCTACCTTGTGCCACTGCTGCCCTGGGTGTCCTGCCACAGCAGGCAAGCAGGGCTGGAGTCCTCTGCAGAGTAAACCCTGCTGTTAATCTTGGCTATCTCAAGGTGTGTTTATATGCATGAAAGCTTGCAGTCCTTTGAAAAGCAGTTTCCTATTTCCTGTGAAAATTGTAGTTGATCACACCAAAAAGAGCCTAAATTGTGGTCCACAGGGAGAGGTTTTGCCTGGGCAAACTAAAGAGGCCCTAAAAAGCTGATTGAGAGTCCAAGAGACATTTGCAAATGATAACATTTATCTAGAATCATTTAACTGCTTTTCATTCATATTTCAGCCTGAAATTCATGCTCTCGTTACTTCTGATTTCCTCTTCTTCACCAAGAGACAGGAGAAGAGTAAAGATGAATGACTGTTGAGAAGCATAAAACTAGAGTTTAAGATCTATTCTACCCTGGAAAATCTATGTTTTAATAGGCCAGTTTAACTCAGGTACATTTGATGAAACTGTTGATGTGTCTGGATTCATTTTTCTCATTGTAGCTTTTAGTTTTTTAATATACATTTTATTTTTTAAACTCTGTTGCATTATTGAAGTTTCTATTCTTTGTGAATTCGCCTGTTTATAAACTGAAGCCATCTATCTATTCTGTCAGTGATTATGCATATTTTTATATCCATACATAATTACATAGTTTGAGAAATTTTTTGTGTGTGTTTCTCTTGTCCTTCCAAACAGCTCATAATCTTTAGGATATTTTCTTGGCTATTTACGAACACTATTACTCTTTTTTTCCCAATTTGCTTCATTGTACTTTCAAATAGTTATTCCAGGTAGTCATTAAATTATACCATTTTTTATAATAAATTCTGTGGATATGCTTTGTGTTTGTGCGTATCCAATTGGTCTGAGTTTACTTTCTCGTCTATTTTGTTAGTTGTTTTGTAGATGAGAATCTGTTAATTTACTTCATGTAAATGCCTTCCTTCACTTTCACATTTGAACTGCAATTTTGATTCCTAGTAGAACATTATTTCCCCCCAAATTCAGAAAATAATATCCTATTGGCTTCTGGCATCTATTCTTGATTGTGGGTAGTTTGCTGCCAGTTTTGTATTCTTTCCTGGGTAGGTAATCTCTATGGAAACTTAAAAAATTGTTTTCTCTTTATACTTAATGTTCTTCAAACTCAGTCTGTGATTTGGGATGTATTTGTAATCCACACAATCATTTTTCTCCAATTCTGGAAAACTTTAACTCATATCCTATATACATTTTCTTTCTTTCTCATGCTTTCCAGTCTCTGGTGCTGGCAATACTTATACAATTTGAGTTAGAAAATTCCAAATTCATTTCATCTAGCATGTACACCATCTGTTTTGTGATTTCAATCACAGTGTTTCTTGTTTTTTTATGATGGATGGTTTCTGTTGCATATCTTCCTGGTTTGGACTTACTGTTTTCTCTTTTTATTATCTGGCTTCCCCACTTTTTACAGAAAGCTATTAATTCATCTATCTCTCTGAGCTTTCTTAACATACATTGTCAGACTTTGAATTCGTATTTTAATTACTGATTAGTTTTCTTGTAGTATTGGGAATGGAACCAATAGATTTCCCTGTGCTAGGTAAGCACTCTACCACTCAACTACACTACCAGCCCTTAATCACTGGGAATTTGTACCTGTACAAATTCATCATGGTAATCATTCATCATGGGGAATTTGTACCTGTACGTGATATATCTTGGTGCTTGTCCATTCTCATTCCCCTGCCTTCCCTTCACCCCTCCACCCCTCTATTTACAAAAGCTTTGTTTCTATTTTTCCTTCTCTTCTCTTGTTTTGCTTTCCTTTCTTTCCTTTCCCCCATCCTCCTTCTTCCCCTTCCCCTTTTCATCTTTTCTTCCTATTTCACATTATCTATTATACATTTTAGTCCTCATTTACACTTTCAGTTTCTAACACCAGAGAGATGATTTGGTATTTACATGTGTGTCTCAGCAGCAGGAGTTATTGCTAAGATGGTGAGACCATGCTGATTTTACATTGAACCACTGAGTCAGGGATTACTGAGAAACATGGAGGGAATTTCTGAAGAAGAAAACCAGAAAAGCTTGCTATTGAGAACTCTAAGGAGAGGGCATTTTATACTCAGAAGGAACACCAGAGGAGGAAGTGCCTGTTTACAAAGTATGATAAAAAATGACAGTGAATATGAAATTTCAAAAAAATTACAGTACAATACACTTTACTATTAATTTCCTTTAGACTACTTAACCCTCTCTTCCAACAAGCTTATTCCATTCTTATTGCCACTTTCTAAAGGAGTTCTGTAAGTTCTCTTTCGTGAGTGTCCGTAGCTGCACTCTCGTGGCTACTTTGATGCCCTGAATCAGTTCAAAACATTTACTTTTCATGGTCATTTTGACTTTGGGGAAGAGCTGGAAGTCACTTGGTGCCAGATCTGGTGATAAGGTGGATGGAGATGCACTGTGATGATTTGTGAC